ATTTGATGGACTTTATTTCATACTGAGTTTTAGAAGAATATTATAGACATGGTCATTTAGAAAATATTTGAGTGCTTCATCATTTTTCTTTTAGTCTTTTGACATTCAAATCTTTCTTTTTGAAGCACCTATTATTATCATCCATCAGTTTTCTTTTTCTTTTTCTTTTTTTTTTTCCCCAGTTGTTTTCTGCCTCTGCTCTGCCAGATGCCTGTTTGGCTGTGGCTTTGCTGTGAAGTAAACATTTCTCTAACATCACGTCTACTGTCTTTATGAAATCAATGTGTTTTGCCAGTCTTGCAATTTCACTGGCCTCTGTTTTTTTTCTTTTTAATTTGTGATACATTTTCAGATGTTTCAACACATAGCAATCAGCAAAGGATTGCAGAAGAGGTTGGCATGATGGACAAGGAGAGATGTTTGCATTAATTAGGGACACTCTCAAAGGACTCGGTTTATACAAACCCAGTTTGGCGTTGCAGGTTTTCACATTATAACCTATGCTTCCCTCCATCAACCTGAGAGACTTGTATAATGGGGTCCTGTGACTCCTGGCTGTGTTTTCTTTCACTGTTGAACGTTGTTAAGTCTAACAGTGCTATACGGCCAATAGTTCCAGCTTTGTTGTCATTTCCTGACTGTTGGAATTATTCTTCCAATCCAGGAAGGTTGTGTTTAAAAATTCAGAGGATGAAGAGCGAGAGGAAGAAATTCTATTGAATGCTGTAACATGCTATTCCCAGCATTTGTTAGAGCAGGATTAGCATTTACTTTGATTATAGCATTTCTTGGGGGTTAGGGCTTGGGTTCTTCATCTCCTTGGGAGGGAGAATGTTACACTGAATTCCTTTCATTCTGTTCAAAGGTAAAATCAGAGAAAAGGATGCTGCTGTTCCCATCACAGCTAAATGTTGTCAGCCGGTGGAGAAGCAGGCCTTATTTCAACTCCCCAAGATCCTTTTGAGAAAATAATCACTCGAGACCTCTTTGATTTCCTTTCAGAAGCAATTGCTGTCTTTCTCACTGTGACTTTGTTGCTGTGTAAGATTGAAGATAGAAATGAATATTATTGTGATGGAAAGTCTGTGTGAAAATTCATTGATGACACTTTAAAATGTCATCTTTGCTTGTACCAGATTTCTTACTTTGAATTTTTAAAAATCACTTTCTTGTTGAAAGTTTTTTTTAATGGCTACATTTGTTTAAAAATAGCTAACTGTGATTTTGCATTCTATTGTGATTCATAAATATTTAGGTCTTCATTGTAATTAGTAAGCATTTAGATCTTCATTTTATATCCTGTTATCTGAGTTATGTGTGCCTTCTTTTAACTAGTGGGATTGGGACTCTGGGAGGTTGCTTTTGATTCAAAAGCATAATTTCCTGAGAGACATCTGCTTCCGCAACTCCTGAAAACCAGGTCCCTCAGCAAACCCCATGTAACCAAACTGGATCCTCAACCTTAGAATAACTCCAAGGCAAATTATCCAACCACACTGATGAACACAGGATTTGACAGAATTAAATGGAATCAGCGAGGCTGAAAGGTGCTACCGTGATACCCTCCTCTCCTCCGCATCCTGGTCTGTCCTGGGATCCTTTTGTGTGCAAAGAAGCTGAGCTTATAGTTTCTTCTCCTGGGTAACTAGGCCAAGAGGGATTTTAAAAACATGAAGTAAAATCAGGGCAATTATGTTCTCACTGCAGGTACATCTGCCCCTGAATCACTCACTTAGATCTGGGGTGTATTCACGCTTTTGATGGACAGTAGTAGGAACCCAGTTTATGCAACTGTAATTCATTTTGAACCCAGTAAAAAGGATGATGAACTACAATCACAATTCTTTCTTCTCAGGTAAGAGATACCTTAAAATATCTTACTACTTTTCTCCTCAACTTTGGTTGACAATAAAAACTCAACAGTTAAGATGACTGAATGCTCTGAAAAGGAAGAATTAAGTTGCTTTCTTATCTAGAAGCCAATGCCCACTCATCCTTTAGAATTCAGCTTAAATAGAACCCCCCTGGAGGCTTCCCCAGATCCAACATGATAGGGTTAAATCCCACTTTTCTGTTCCTCCATACCAGGACCACCGTACACCCCATCCCAGCACCACACCCACTGCATTGTGACTGCCTGCTTTACTAGTCGGCCTCCTCCAGGAAACTGAAAGCTCAGTGAGGGCAGAGCTGCTTGGTCCACTGTTACTTCTCCACCAGAGTGCCAAATGATGGTCATCAATGGATAGTCGTTAATTTTTAAATAACAGACATGAAGGAGTTCCTGCTAAGTTCCTAAATTGATGCCAGTGAAATTAGTGAGAACTCTCAACAAAATAAAGATATTTTGTGGAGCATTTTAGTATAGGCGTGCTTTAAATGAAGACCACAGATTCATTGTCTAATATTTGCTGCATCTCTTTTGGAAGAATGAAATAGCCCTAGGATTAAGCATCAGCAAAGTCATTTGAAATGCATATGGGGATCCCTTTGTTGCTTTCATTCGGCTTTGTTGTGAAAATTTTTGTAGGAACATAGTTACAAATAATAACATAAGACAGTGAAAAACATGATTCAAGCTATTAATATTTAATACCATGTTTTTCAGGATTGCCTCTGGTATACAAAATAAGGTCCCTTTGTCACTAAACAATTGCATTCTCAAGGACTGTCCAAAGACTAGATGGAATGAGTAGCATTTTTTATATTCACCTTCCATTGTCTGTTTCCTCCCACGGGCAGCATGATGTATTGGGAAGCAAAAAGTGTGGGCTCTAAACTTCTATTTCCTAGCTATGAGACATTAAGCAGTTTTTGAAATTAAAATATATTATGAATTTATCAAAACAAAAAACCCCCAAAAATTAACATAATCAGACCTGTGTACCTACTATCCTGTTTAAGAAATAAAATTTTACCAAAACAGCTGCAGTGTCCTGTGTGCCTCTGTTCATTTCCCCTTCTTCCCCCAGGGTAACCAGTGTCCTGAATCTGGTGTTTTATTCCCACGTACGTCTTTTATGTCTTTGCTTTATATGTGCATAGCTCTAAGCATTATTTTGTACTTAGTTAAATCTTATAAAAGCATTATATAGTATGTATTGGTTTATTTCCTTGGTTTTTTTATGTTTGGTTGTTCTTTATATTTTCTAACTCTTTGCTAAAAACTTCTAACTTCTCACTCTCTGCATCCATTCTCCTCCCAAGTTCTCTAATCATCTTCATGATCATTACTCCAAACTCTTTCTCAGGTAGATTGCCTCTCACCTCATCATTTAGTTCTTGTAGGATTTTATCTTGTTCCTTTGCCTGGAATATATGCCTCTGCCACCTCATTTTGTCTAAATTTCTGTTTGTATTTTGATGTATGTGATAGTTTAGTTATATTTCTCGACTTGGAGAAGAGGCCCTCTGTAGGTGACATCCTGTGTGTCCCAGCAGTGCACTCCCCTCTCGTCACCCAAGAGCAGGGGGCCAGCTGGGCCCAGGGAAGGGTCTGGCCTATGTTTATGGACTCGTTCCACAGGCTGTAGGATTGTTGTTTTCTTGCTTTTGGTGCCAGCGCCTTGGTGATGAAGCTGGACTAGACGCTTGTGCAGGTTTCCTGGCGGGAGGGGCCCGTGCCTGCTCACTGGTAGGCGGAGCTGAGTCCTGGCCCTCTGGCGGTCAGAGGCGTGGGGGGGGGGTCTTGTCTAGAGGCGGCTGGGCGGGGTCAGGAAGTCCTTAGGCAGCCTGTCAGCTGATGGGTGGGACTGTGTTCCCACCCCATTAGTTGTCTGGGCCGAGGCATCCCAGCACTTAAGGTTACAGTGGGGCCAGGTCTTGGTGCTAATGACCTAAGCAAGGTGTCAGCCTCCAGTAAGGTTCTTGTGGCTGAATACTCCCGGATGTCCGCCAACAGCTTTTATGTCCCTGGGTGAGCCACAGCCGTCCTCCTACTTCCCTGGGAGACCCTGCAAGACCAGCAGGCAGGTCTGGCCCAGACTCCTGTGAAATAGCTACTTCCGCCCTTGGTCCCCGAGCACGACAGATTCTGTGCCTGCGCTTTCAGAGTCAGGTCTCTGCTTCCGCCAGTCCGTGGAGCTCCTGCAGTTAAGCCCCGCTGGCCTCCAAAGCCGAGGGCTCCGGGGGCTCTTCCTCTCCATGCTGGACCCCAGGCTGGGGAGCCCGACGTGGCGCGCAGAACCTCACCCCCGTGGGTGAGCCTCTGCGGTGTAACTTTGCTCCAGCTTGCGGGCCGCCCGCCTGGGAGGTGTGGGACCTGCTCACACCGCGAACGCACCCCTCCTGCCGTCCCGCTGTGGCTCCCCCTGTGTCTCCAGGGGAAGATCTCTTTTGGTAGGTGCCAGTCTTTTTTATTGGTTGTGTTCGCGCCAGGAGGCGAGCTCGTGGTCGTGCTCCGCCGCCATCTTGACCGGAGCTGCCTGTGTCAGGTTTTTTAATACATACTGTTTGGTTTCTGCTTTTTCTCAGTC